GGGGGGGGGGGGGGGGGACGGGACGGGACGGGACGGGGACGACTTACCTACACGCAGGCATAAAACTCACACACATAAAATAAAAATAACAAAATATTTAAAAAGTTCCCTGAAATTGGCCGGGCGTGGTGGCACACGCCTTTAATCCCAGCACTTGGGAGGCTGAGGCAGGCGGATCTTTGTGAGTTCGAGGCCAGCCTGGTCTACATAGTGACATCCCAGCACTAGGACAGCTGGGGCTACAAGGAGACCCTGTCTCAGAAAGACAAAAAAAAAAAAAGCTCCCTGAAGCACAGGGATTTCATTGAGGAAATGTGACCTCAGTAGCAACCAACTATAAAACAAGCACTTCCTAAAAATGTTGACTCAGTGAAATAAATGTTAAGATACTCTGAAAAATAAATGGGTTGTTCATCTGCTTTGTGAATTTTTGTTTGAGACAGGGTCTTGCAGTGTAGCCTTGGCTGGCTTCCAACTCACAGCAATCCTGCTGCCTCAACACCCTAAATGCTGAGATTACAGGCATGTACTACCACACCTGACTAAAATGTATCTTTTCTGATTTATATGTTAAGCTTGCTATATCACCGGGCTCGATACCTGACATGTAAAACACGTCATTTTCAGAATTTATGAGATTACTCAACAGGACAAGCATCAAAATTTAGTGGAATTTAGCGTTGAAGTCTAATCAATGTATTACCTCTTCCTACTGATACTTTTCTTTTCAATGCTTAAAGAAAATACCATCTTCAAATGGAACACACAACTCACAAATTTTCCCCAACTATTGGGAAAAGGGTTCAGAACTATTACACTTCTTTGTCCACTGTCCAAGTCACACTGGAACCACCTCTTCAGGAAAACACACAACTGAATGTCATTGGTGGTATCTCAGAGCACAAATCAGGTCTTTCAGCAATAAAGACTTCACCGAGTATTAATGTATAACTTTTGAAGAGTCCACTCAGCTTGTCTGTACTATTTCCTTTGAAGCAAAGTTAGTTTTGAACTCCTAATCTGCTAGACCTATTTCAAAATATACCAAAACAAATCAGTAAAGTGATAGCTTATTCCTCAACTTAGGGTCTTTGTGGCTTTTCTAACAACCAATCACACACTGTTAGAGAACGGACAGCTGCCCTTGGCAGTCCTGAGATGCTCTTCTCTGCAAAGGCTGCCCCTTCTCCCCAGCCTTTCCATGCACAGTTCTCCACTGCAGCAAGTTGGGAGAAAGTGGACAGAGTCCACATTAGCTTCTCCTTCCCCCATACCCGATGACATGGCTGAAAAAATAACCTGCGCACCTGACAAAAATGGGCTTGCCTATACCCTGAGAGCTGGCAGCAAAGCAGTCGGGTTCTGAATTTGAACAGCAGCTCTCCAAATGAGCAAGATGCCCTGGGCAGAACATTCTTCAGGAATGATAGCACTGAGAGCTTAACCCAACTGTGTTTCTAGGAAACTCTTCTCTAAGACTCAAACATGGTGTGTGCTGCTCCCCTGAAATCCCAACACTACAAGCAAGGGCAGAAGACTGCAAGGCCAGCCTGGTTTACATACAAGTTCCAGATACACAGCTTTGGAGACTGTGTCTCAAAAAAACAAAAAACAAGACTCAAGGACTACCACTCTAGGCACACTGGCAGCTTTCTGCCCAACAGATTCAATCTAATTTAGCTTTGCTCACTTTTTCTTGGCAACGTCCTTCCAGCAGCTCACCTTCACACAACCCTCCACAAGCGCAACTCAAGTTTCCAGTCAAGGAAAAAGAACCTAAGGCTCTTTAACTAAGAGTCTCATCACAACAAACTCATTTCTAACTCCCACTAAGAGGAAACAGACTTCAACCTTAAAGTCACTCCAAGGAAACCGGCATGCCCACGTGAAGGCCACCTTTGATGTTTTAGTGACACGGCCTAGATCGCCTAGATCAGGGTCAGAATCTGGTTGTAGAGGCAGGCATTTAACCTCTCAACAAATCATCAGGCTGATCAAAGAAGATCAAAGTTCTAGGCAGGTATATGCTGGATCTGTTATTCACTTAGGGGCCACTAGCTACAGTTTATGGTATTCAAAGAAGGAATTAGTCATCCACAGCTGCAGTTACACTTGGAATGCTAAGTTAAACTTAAGATTTCTAGGATAAACACTGCATATTAGTATCAATGTGCCAGACACCTTTCTGGAGGGGGGGATCTGGATGTGGAAAACAAAAATGGGTTAGGCATCAAGGCACTTACATACAGATTGCTTTCCTTTAAAAACCAGAGTGATCTGAAGCTGGTACTTCCATTTCCATATCAATCAAGACTTCAAACCCTACAAATGTAAAGTAAGTCATTCACTAAGTCCTCAGAGACTTTTTTAAAAAGGAATTCTAATTCTCCAGGGAATTCTAAATCGTCGTGTGTCCCCCCCCCCCCCGCCATGTACCTACGTTTCAGGATGTCCCAGCTACAAATTTTCAGACCTCTCCATCTAACAGGATGGCAACTCCGAAGTCACTCTACCAGCTCCTCAAAGACCAAAACTTAACCAGAGTAAAGTGCTCCTGCACAACACACAACGCAAAGTATCACAAGCTAAAGCTCAACTGAGGAAAGCATCCTACCCAGTCCTAACAGAAACCATCTAGAACACGGTCGCATGTATAAGGACAAAGCCATCTCTACTTGTGCACGACTTGGTCAGCACCGTTGACAACCGTCCTGGCACTTCCCAGCAGCCCAGTCCATTTCAAATCTCGAGGGTCTGAAAAGCTAAGACGGCGGGACAAAAGCAGAGCCAAGAGATGCCGGGCATGTCTTGACACAAGACCGAGAGCACTCCTCCGTCTGCAGGACCGGTCCTACCGAGACACTTTCTGGAAGCACCGGGCAGGAGACTCAAGCCTCCAGGCCCGACGGCTGCAGAGAAGTTTCCCGGCTCGGCTGCACATGGCGTGCACAAGTTTGGGTGGGTGGGAGCGGCCGCGCCAAGCAGAGCCAAGAGATGCCGGGCATGTCTTGACACAAGACCGAGAGCACTCCTCCGTCTGCAGGACCGGTCCTACCGAGACACTTTCTGGAAGCACCGGGCAGGAGACTCAAGCCTCCAGGCCCGACGGCTGCAGAGAAGTTTCCCGGCTCGGCTGCACATGGCGTGCACAAGTTTGGGTGGGTGGGAGCGGCCGCGCCAAGCTGCGGGCGGCGGCGGCGGCGGCGGCGGCGGCGGCGGCAGCGGCAGAGCAG